TATCATATCTAAAATAATTAATACTATCAAGAGTCAATATGAAACTAATATCTCTAACAAGTTTTTGTGGATAAATAAAATATGTTTTCAATTTTAGAACATTGAGAATATTTTGCAATATCTCTACACTCTCAATCTTCACATCTCCTATACTAATGACATGGAGTATGTCACCCCCTATAGTGAGGACCTTCTTCTACTAATTACATCAGAAATATATGATAAATTTTGAATAATTTACGGTCATATGATTTGTTGCTCCCAATTTTAGTATCCATTTATCTTTAAGTTTGGAAGAATAGATACCCATAAATGTATTGGACTCACTTACCCTTACTAATGAGGTGGAGCTGAACATAGACTTTTATTTCTGAATTTCTTCTTTTCAAGAGCTAATATCTTCTCTTAGTCCCTTAATAGGTAGATTCACCCTCTCTATGGTTTTGACATCTAATTTAGATGTTTTAATATCTTATGTAATTGTCACATATACCGATCCTACTTGTGGAGGCCTTCTATATTTACTATTACATTGTGAATGTCATAAATTCTTCTTCCCTTCACTTTCCTAGAAGAAGTGAATTGCCCATTCTTTTCCTCTCTGAAGGTTGTAAATGTCTCTTAGACTTGGCCAAAATTATTACACCACCTTCTTCTTTAACTGCTCTTAGAATCAATTGCAATATGTTCTTCTCCTCAATTACAATGAAGATTACCTCAATATCTAGTACTTTCTCATGGTTAAGAATTTGACTTCTTAACTATTTGTACTCAATATTAAGGCCTATCAAAATTCTGTAGAGATGATCTCTTAGGACAAGTTGATTTTTGAAATTCAAGGTTCTTCACTAGTTGATAGTTGTGATCAATCTCCTTCCAAAGAGTTTATAACTTTGAGGCATAATCTAGAACAAATTTATCTCCTTGTATCAATGTTACTATTTTGGTCACATGTTCATAAATGTACCAATCTATATTGCGCTTTGAAGAAGTGTTATGAACTTGATTCCAAAGATCTCTAAAAGTCTTGAAGTCCAAAAAGTTGTTGTAGAGATGTCCTACCATCATCCCAATTAACCAAGTAAGAAGAACAACATCATTTGTCATCCATACCTTATACTCTAGATTAAAGATATTTGGTGTATTTTGAACTAGAAGATCTTCTACACCTTTTCCTAGTAAGATCAATTGTACATATTAACTCTAGTAGAAAATATTGCAATTATCATATTTCAGCTTTTCAGATATTCCTAGAAGTAGTTGCACTAGTCAATCTCTCTCTTCTAAAAAAGATTGAATGATCATAGAAGACATTTGAATCGTATTAGATGAGTTACTAGCTAACATTGTTGTCTCCACCTTGAATGTTGTTTCTTTGATTTGTAGTAGACTTTTTAATTCTTCCTCTCGTAGACAACTTCTTGAACCTTGCGATAGAAACCAAGAGAAACAACTTCACAATAGATCCTAGAAGAAGCAAGAAGCAAGAACTAAGAGACTTAGAGATGATCGCTAGACTTTAATATCATGTGGAGAATTATGTACCCTAGGAACCTATTGGAGCTTCAAGAACTAGAGGGTGTCACTCTAAAAATATGTTGTCTCAAAGATAGCAATTGAAAAGAAGACCTCAAGTTTATTATTCTATTGTCACCCTTATTTATAGAGGTTACACATGGGATCAAAAAGAAAGTAAAAGAGCCTCAATACGAGTCCATTATATGACTAGATCTCATAAGGGCATATCTACATATAAGAAAAATATAAGAGTAAAATAAGAAAATAGAATAAATAACATATTCTATTAGTGGTACAATGTGAGATATGTCTTATCAAAGCTCTTTAACAATTTAGTCATATTTTTTGTGAAACATTTTGCAAAAAATTGAATAATATGAGAAAAAACTTAGCAATGTTAATGTATTATTTCTAGACATCTCTTTAAAAGGTTAGACTAGGCCTCATTACATGAAAATATATAAATATATAAAAAACTAATTTCTTTAATGATAAACCCTAAGAAAAGTGTCTCAATAATGATTAGAGACTTGAAAAAAATGACATTCAAGAAACCCCAAACTTTGTTCATTGAATTTTTCATAGTATTTAAAAGGTAGATGCACAAGTCAACAATGCAAAGAGGTATCTAACTAATCTTTTGATTGCTACTCCACATGACTTTTTGATTTGAATTACTAAATGGATTTCATGAGACAAACAAGACTTGCCAAGTCTTGAAAATATAGTAATTAGGAAGTAATGTCACAAAAAAGCTATATTAGTTACACATTACTTAATGCATAAGGCAAACTAATGTTGATAGTTCATAGTTTCCTTACCACGCAGAACCATATGCACTTACCAATCTCTATTGACTTGAAATCAAAGAATAATGTCACATGATCAATAAATCATCTCACCTAATATGAGCTACATTTCCATTTTTGCACTCAATTTATATGCTGACATAATATTTATAGGGGTAAATTTACATTCTTAAATACTAAATTTATATCAAATTTGTATGTAAATCTTAGCAAAATAATTTTCTAACCCCTTGGTAAGGTCACATGTAATGTTGAGATCAATTATCAGCTGGTGTCTTTTCCTATTTTCAAAAAGAAAGTCGACTTACTTGATAAGATGAGTTGACTTAATTAGACACACAATAGAGACCAAGGCACCATATAAAGGTAGAAGAGACCAAGACACCATATGTTATGAATTTAAAATTTTCATCTATGTTTGTCCTCACCAAAACATTGTTTTTTTTTACTTCTCCATGTGATAAGGTTTCTACCAAGAAAGGTAAAATACTTGAAAATAGATCTTCCATTTATAATAGATCCTACACAATCAACATTATTATAAACTTCAGGTATCAATCCTCTATTTCTCTTAAATAAGATATCATTTTTTAATGTATTTTTGATGTAGATGAATATTTAACGAACTACATTCTTGGTAGAGAGAAACTTAAGGACAAGATCATTAGATAGTAGAATAGACAAGTTGTGTCATACCACTATAAATCTGAATTCATAAGTTGGATAGAAAGCCATAAATCCAATAGTGATTATCTCATACATAAGAAAAAGATATTTTTTAATTTAATTTTATGATTTTTCTTGTGACAACAACATATTCTTTTCTTGTAGAAAACCAAGATTTACCTCAAACAAATCAACATCAATAAAAGTTTTAAATGAACCTTACATGCCCCTTATAATGCAAGTCTAAATCAAATCAATTTGAGTACCAAAACCAAATCTTGGATTATTTTATGATGAAAAATGAGTTGAAAGTGGAATCTTTGGTTGGCCCATAAGAAGCCAAGAGAGTTAATTCACCTAATACATCAAGGGATGATTCAAACTAGCCCTCTTCTAATCTCAACCCATCTTACCTATGAATGTCTCTTCAAGACATCCTTCCCATAAGACAAAACCCTGCTTCTGAAGTCCTATTCCTCATTTCCGAAGTGAGCTAAAACATCTAACGTCTATAACATTCCCTTGTCTACTACCTTAATCACCCCTCTACACAGCCACTTCTTGATCAACACATAGCTGAACCAACATCTATCAAAAGCCTATCCCATATGTGAACACCGTAGACCTCTTCTACTCTTCACCCACATCCTCTCTTAAATGCAACAACGCAGCTCACATGCTCTCTTAAAACTTTGTTTTACTCGCAAAGATGAAAACTAATTAACTTAAATGTCTAATTTCTTTCCATAATCCTTGACATTATGGTCTCTAGATCAAAAATTAATCAATTTCTCCAACCATGCCACATATCTACAACTACTTACTACCATTTTGGTCAAACACCTTATAACAATATCTAAGTATATCAATGATATTCTTTCATCCTAAATGTATAATTTCTTTCCATAATCCTCCTCAACATTATTATGCCTTCAACCATGCTGCATATCTTCAACTACTTACTATCATTCTTGGTCAAACACTTTATAATAATATCTAAATATATTAATTATATTCTTTCATCCTAAATGTATAATTTCTTTCCATAATCCTCAATATTATGCCTTCAACCATGCCGCATATCTACAATTACTTACTATCATTATTAGTCAAACACCTTATAACAAAATATCTAAGTATATAAACTATATTCTTTCATCCTACAGATCTAATTTCTTTCCATAATCCTTGACATTATGCCTGCAACCATACTACATATTTGTAACTATTTACTACCATTCTTGGTCAAACATCTTATGGCAATATCTAAATACATCAATTGTGTTCTTTCAATTTAAATATCTAATTTCTTTCTATAATCCTTGACATTATGGCTTCAACCATGCTACACATCTACAAAAATTTACAACCATTCTTGGTCAAACACCCTATAGCAATATCTAAAATTATATCAACTATGTTCTTCCAAGAACATCTTGTAGTAGCCAGCGCCTACTTTGTCTGACTTTGTACGGCAAGACGGTCCCAAGAAAGGGGGGGGGGGTGAATTGGTTTTTTCGTAATTAGTTTCTTTTTCTTGATTTCTAGGATCCAACTGGGCTTTCACGCCATGATCTGATGTGATGAACGCTGATCGGACCGGTGTCTTAGGTCCCTCGTAGCGGGGACCACCGAAATGGGCTTCCTCGAGATCCACCGTGTATCCAAGATGAACGGCCAGGATTCCTCCCCTTGCCATCCACGCGCAGCCACATGTTCTGCTGAGAAAATCGGCCCTTCTGTCCTCTCCCGGGCAGAATCTAAAGAGATGGATCAGGCCACGCCGCGTGGGAGATCTGGCGCTCCCTGCGACAGGTGGCGCATTTCCATTGGTATCAAGGATGAGGGTAATCCACCCACAAGCCACGTCACATCTCCTTTAAGATTTCCCTCTTCCGAACCAGACCTTCATCATCCTCCTCCCTCTCCACTTCCTCTCCACTTCCTCTCCGTCGAGATCTCTTCTACACAGGCCGCGCAGAGGAGGAGCTCGTCGGAGATCGGAGAATGGCGGCGCAGGCTCTTCTTTCCTCCGCTGTGGAGGCCGGCCGGCAGCTCCTCGGCGGGCGGCCCCTCCAGGCCTCCCCCTCCAGATCCCTCGCCGCCCCCCGGAGGCCCTCCTCCCTCCTCGTCCGCGCCTCCGCCACCCCTCCCGTCAAGGTCTGCTCCCTTCCCCCTCGCCGGCGCCGGCAGCTCGACTCTCACCCCCTTCTTCTTCGTCTCCTTCTCCTCTCATCTCCCTCCGGTAGCGCGATTCTCACCTCTTTCCGCTTCGTCTTCTTCTTCCCTCCCTCTCCGGCGGAGAGTTTCTGACCTGTTTCTTCTTCCTCGCCGTGTTTCTCGCAGCAAGGCGCCGACCGCCAGCTCTGGTTCGCCTCCAAGCAGAGTCTCTCCTACCTCGACGGCAGGTGATCCTAGCCCTAACCCTAAACCTCCCTCCTCTTCTCCCCATGTCTCTACATATCTGACGGATCTGAGCGGCGGTACAGCCTACCGGGGGACTTCGGCTTCGATCCGCTGGGACTGTCGGACCCTGAGGGGACGGGGGGCTTCATCGAGCCCCGGTGGCTGGCCTACGGCGAGGTCATCAACGGCCGCTTCGCCATGCTCGGCGCCGCCGGTGCCATCGCACCCGAGATCTTCGGCAAGCTCGGCCTAATTCCCCCGGAGACGGCGCTCCCCTGGTTCAAGACCGGCGTGATCCCGCCGGCGGGCACCTACCCCTACTGGGCGGACTCCTACACGCTCTTCGTCCTCGAAATGGCGCTCATGGGATTTGCAGAGCACCGCAGGTACCAGGACTGGGCCAAGCCCGGATCCATGGGGAAGCAGTACTTCTTGGGGCTGGAGAAGGGGCTCGGCGGCTCCGGCGACCCTGCATATCCAGGGGGACCCTTCTTCAACCCGCTAGGGTTTGGAAAGGATGAGAAGTCCATGAAGGAGCTGAAGCTGAAGGAGATCAAGAATGGACGCTTGGCCATGCTCGCCATCTTGGGGTACTTCATCCAGGCGCTGGTCACCGGGGAGGGGCCCTTCCAAAACCTGCTCGACCACCTTGCCGACCCCGTCAACAACAACGTCCTTACCAGCCTCAAGTTCCATTAGAAAGGAGCTCCTTTCTCTCTCTTTCTCTCCCTCTCTCTCTCTTTCTCTCACCTCTCTCCTCGCTCTCCCTCTCTCTCTCTCTCCACCTCTCTGTCTGTCTTTGATTCCTATCTCTCCCCCTCCCGTGACATGTTTGGCAAAACTCTGTAATTAGTCCAATCACAATGGATCCTGGGCACTCTCTCTCTCTCTCTCTCTCTCTCTCTCTCTCTCTCTATCGATGGGCTTCTCATACCAGTGAAATCGATTCCGCTTGTGAGGGAGAAATGGGCAGAAATTATTATTTTAGAAATAAAAGGGGTTTCTTTCTGAGCTCATGAAATATTTGGGATTTTCGTGGAAGGGAAAATTTTCTGATATTATGATTACTTTAAAATAAGTTGGGTCCATTGATTTTTGGGATTCACGCAAGAATCAATTCCTCTCATAAGAACATAAAAAAATCTGTGTTTATATTTTCACGAAAAAAAATTATATTTTGGGATCCGCACGAGGATGGGCTGCCAATTTTGGAGATTTTTGGGCAATTTTTTTTGACTCATTTACCACCCTTCGATCACATCCAGATATGATCAGCAGCCAGATCGATCTATCCAATCAGACCCATGAAAAAAGGATGTGAATTATAATGAAATAATTCACCTCGAATATTATCAAATAATTATTACCAGATATTAAATAACTTTAAACTGCACAAATAATCCGTTCATTTCCATTCAAACGCTTTCAAAACCTCAAAAGGCCGAGCAAAGAGTTAAAAAAATGAATTTTTTTGTGGCATAAGTTATTGCAAAAAATAAGTAATTTTATTCTCCATTTATCTAGCTGAATATCTGCTTGGTTATAGATAATCTATCTAGGAAAACACACTTTGGTGTATATTGATTATTAATAAATCCCCTAGAGAATTACCCATCAGACATCTAAATTCCTCCCCTCGTTGACTTCCATTTATGTTGGATTCCAAGTTCTACAGGTCCACTTGACATCTCATCATATCATATTTCGAGGGTAATTTCTGAAAAATAAGTAGAAATATTTTGACACTTGTCACATGTATTACCAAATATAGCAATGGAACAAGAACCATGCTCTTCAAACAGCTTCCTGAGCCTCTTCTTTCTTTCCTTTCTTGGTTCCCAAGGAGAATCATACCTCCCCCCCCCCTTCACTAGAACTTGGAGGAGGGTAGTTTTGTCCTTAGGGTTTAGGTATAAATCCCTATAGATTACGCTGCTGAGCGTGTGCTGTATTATTCCATTATCTTCTTTCTCTTTCTTCACTCTTCTCTCAACATATATACTAAGCAAGAGCAACAGATGATTCAGAAACCTCTCAAGGATCATTGTCTTCTGCAAGGAAAGAAAATGAGCATTTTTTTCCCCCAATCTGATTAGGGTTTTCCTAGAACTGCTGAATCTATGACATCCGGACTATAGTTCATCGGTATTGTCGTTGAATTGAGAAGTAAAATACACAAAAATACAGAAATATATTATCCTGTTCTTCAGTTCTTCCCAGTCGAAGGGTGTGCTCACGTTGACATTCAGTCTCGGTTTGGGAACGTGGGCTCCATTTTTTTAGTCAACTCTGATCTGGGATTCCTAGAATCCCATATCGGGAAGACCTAAGTTGAATTTTAATCAAGCTGCTTTCACGAAAAGTTTCCAATATCATCCACTGATTTCAAGCACGAATCAGGATTAATCAAAATATTTGCATCTGATTCAATATATTTTGGAGTTTAAACGTATTTTTTGGACTCCATGGATCATTGGAGTTTATCCAAAGAAAACAGATAACAATCACCAATCTTTGCATCAGATTCAAAGCAGTTAGAGATTAAAAGAAAACATTTTGATGACAGCAACAAGATCCCGAGTGCCTCCTACACTAATCAGAATTGACTTTTTTTACAATCGCTGACCTTTTCTCGTCATAACCTTTGCATCTGATTCAAAAATATCTAGAGCATGAAATTAGAATATGATGACAGCAAAATGGTGTTAGTAGGGAGAGAACATTATAAAATCATTTACTTGCTTCCAATTCACAGCAGTTTCGTTCATGAACTTTACATCTGATCTGAATCGTGCAGAGTTTAATGGAAAATTTCTCATCTGATTCAAATCATTTCTAGCACATAAGAATATCTGAACTTACTCCGGAAGAGCAATTCTTCTGCTCGACAGCAATTTGGAACGAAAAAGTATTACCCATAATGCCTCAAAAACTTGCGGGGCTGTCATCCAGCTGATTCTCATCTTCGATGTCCACCTCCAAAATCTCCTGGTTAACAAGAAGGGAAGGAATGAGCAAAAGAATAAGGCTGAGAGAGAGAGAGAGAGGTGAGATGAAGGTGAGGCGCTGGAATGTACAGGGATCCTATTCCTCAGGTAGTTGTCAAGCCGGGCGAGCACGGTGGATCTCTTGTGCCAGAAGCGACCCTTGAATCTCAGCTTCACAAAGGGGCCGTCGAGTTCGGCAAGATCAACTTCCCCTTCATATTCCCAGACAAACCGATACGAAGAACAATTCAGTTTCCCTCTCGATTTAGCATCTCAAAAGAAAAAGAAAAAAAAACGAATGCGATCCATTAGAAGCTTATTTCGGAAACCTAGAAAACTAACTAGATCAGTGGCAGAGAACCACTGAGTTGCTCTCCGAACCCTCGAGTCTTATGAACGAATTTGAACGCGATTATCAGACAGAATAGATCATAAGAAGAAGAAAAAAAACCTGTAATCCCCACGGAGGAGTCAAAAATCTGGGCGAGCTGCAAAAGGGAAGGATATGAAGATGAGACAGCAGTTTAGATTCAAGAGGAAAATGATATGAGACATCTCTTGGCGAATCGCACTTGCCTCCGTCTTAGCCTCGGCCAGCACCAAACGAACGTTCTCCTCAGTGAGATCGAGCGCGGAGGCCGAGATCACCGGAAGGCAGAATGTAGGCATCCCGCGCGCAGGTCTCCTACGCGCCGGAATCCTCAGCCCCCCTCGGGAGCACTCTCTGGTCAAGGTCCGAGCCCTGAGACCGGAAGGCCCGCAGATATCGGAGGAAGAAGAGAAAAGCCTTGAAGAAAAGGAGAAGCAGCAGAGATGGTGATGAATCCGCAGTGCCATGCCTCTCTACTCTCTCCGCTCTATATCTCTCTCTCTCTCTCTCTCTCTCTCTCTCTCTCTCTCTCTCTCTCTATCTGTCCTCTCTATCTATCTCCTCTCTGTCTTCTCCATCTCTCTCTCTCTCTCTCCTCTATCTCTCTCTCTCCGTCCGTCTCACACAAACTCGTTACAGTGGTTTATCAAGTCGCAGATAGGAGGACCATCCATCCTATATGGACCGGGCCGTCTCCATTGGGCTTCATGAAGCTCAAATCCGGGAAGCTAAGGCCCAGCCCAACTCAAATCACTCTGGGTGGGGCCCACTAACCCGCGTCATATTCCCTTCTCCTAAGAGGCCCACGGATTTTACTTAGGGCCCGGCCCATTAACCATCATTCAGGCTTTCCTCCGAGCCCAACCCATTAACACCACCCAAGTCAGAAAAGAAAAAACAGATTACCGACGTGGCATATCAACAAGAAGATCGTACAGCCGTTTGATCAACTGTCCTTCTGTAGGAAGAGAGAGAAAAGAGAAGTGGGCGGGGCCCAGGAGGAGAGAGAAAATAGAACAGCATCCAAAGAATCACAGGATCAGTTCACTAGATAGAACATGAGAGATTTCGACCCAGCCCACTGAGCATCATCAGCCAAAAAAAAAAAAGAAAAAAGAAAAAAAAAAGAAACTGTCATGGAAACAAGTACTCCATATCACCAGCTGTACAATCAAACACTGATAAACGATGACAACAACGATGACGATAGTGATGATAATTATGACAATGATGATGATGATGATGATGATGATGATGATTACCATTTCGGGAGGAGTTAGATGGGCTTGATGTTATTCAATCAGCTCCACTAGGGGCGATAAGTGGCAGTTCCTGGGCACCTCAGCTCCTCGCCGTCTGTGAAAAAAAAAGAAAAGAAGCTTTCTTTTTTCTTTCTTTCTTCTACAACCATTTCCTCCAGCTGGCGGATCTCTTGTCACCAGCCAAGAATCTTGGAAGATTCACGAGGGAGTTGACCCTCGTGACTCCTTCCAGAGCTGACCACTCCTCCTCGTCAGTTGTCGACAGGCAGTCAGCAAGGCGGCGGCTCTGCTGTCGCTGCTGCTGCTCCAGGGACTTCTCCCCAGGCTCAGCTGGCATGATCTCGATCTCTCTGGAGGAGACCAGATGCGCCACCGTGACCTCCGGTTCCCCGGTGGCAGCAATGGGCTCCACCAGATGATCTCCACCGGCCCGTTCCAAGGGTGTCGGGCCCAGATTATTTTTCTCTGATCCGATGAGATGATTTTGAACAGCGGGACTCGGCGGGTTGAGGAACAGGCAGACCACCGCACAGTCGTCAATCTTCGACGTGGGGAATTTGAGCCACCAGGCTCTAATGGCGGTGTCAACGAGGGCCCTGGCGGCAGTTGACCGGCTGGGTGCAGAGGCGACCACGTCGACAGCTTCCTTGTTCGAGAGGACATCCCAGATCTGTGGACACATTCCATAAACAGAGTTTAGTAACTAAAAATAATCTGCTGGGCAAGTTTTTTTCAATTAATATTTAAAAGAAAATCAATTTCCAAGAAACTGCCAAGAAAAAATGGTGCCAGTATCAAAATAAGAAATAATTCGGCAATAAATATTTCCATGAAAAATCGATTAATGGGCCTGTTGAAAAGGATTTTCTTGAAAATAATTATCAGACCCACGAACATACCCCATCAGTGGCCAGAATGATGAATTCATCCTTGTCTGTGAGATGCCGGTATGAGACATCTGGGACAGATATCAAGCCATAGTCTTTGAGGCAAAAGTCTCCAAATGCTCTGGCCATGGCCAGGCCAGGAGAGTCGTTGTTCGGCAACCACACACGCGCAACCTCTGGTTCATCCTGCAAGGCAAAGACCCTGCCCTTGCACTGTTGGATGCGCTCAGCTTCTCCTGATCAATGACATCATATAGTCTACTGTAAAACCAGTCAAAAGTCTGCCTGCACGCAAGAGATTATGCTAATAATAGTTCCATTGACTTTGTACAGGACGGCCCTGCCATTCTAACAATTATACTAAACAGGAAGAATTTGATCTGACTTTGAGATAGACAGCCTCACCATTCCGACAATATTAAACAGAAAGACTAATTTAAAAGGAGCGTACTTGGAAGATTGGGTTTCAAGTCAACGGTCAGTTGGACAGCGACCAAGGAGTCATCTTCATCTCTCATGCCGAGAACTGCCCTCGAGTCTCCAACGTTCCCAATAACAAGATCCTGTCCCTGGAGAAGCGCAAGTTGCACATTCTATAACAGCCTGCAAATTGGTGGATGAGCAGAACCAACATTCAAAGACCAGCCGATCGACTCGGAACATGGTCACGTTGACTTTTATTTATCTCTGACAGCAGGCGACTTTTTTTGTTGGAGCTCAGTTTGCCCTTATTACCGCGCAGGGCAAGCTAGAAAATGTAGTTCAAAGACCTACTAGTACAGTTTAGGTAAAGGAAGAATTGATTTACCTGTTTTACCAACGTAATGGCAGTGCTCCCACTGCAGAAACAGTCAATTGTTGGATGTAGCTTAAGCTCCTTATCCATCAGCTTGAAAGACTTCAGCAAAGATTGCCTGAGTATGTGGTATATCTCTGGGAGCTTTCCATCGACGGTATCTGTGGGCTCAGACCATTCATCTTTACCCATAGACCCGTCTTCTGAATGCACACTCACTGGAGCGATACCATCTTGTTGAAGGCCGTTCTGGTTGTTATGAGCGGCCTTCCACTGGGTACACAGCTTGAGAGGAAGTGAATCTCTTACTTTCTTTGCGACCATGTGACCAAATGGGCCGTGGCCGTCAAATATCCCACAGAAGACAGTGTTGTCTCTTGATCCGAAGTTCTAGAATAAAAGAAAAGCCCAGGTTTGTACATTAACGGGGGGAAGGAGAATAAAGGAAAAAAAAGAGAAAAAGAAATAACAGTTAAAATGCATAATATATGGAGAATATAAAAGGAAAGAAGAGGGACAAGAATAAAATCATGGGCCTGGTTCTTCAAACCCTAAGTTCAAGTTCACTCTATCATTCAGATAAAGAAGAAATTTGATAACTCCTGGTAAATGAATGTCCAGATTAATCTTTTCGAGGCCCTGAAATATTGTACTCGGGCCTCGAGTTCTGTGAGCCAAATAAAGCAGAATGACAACCGGAAAATGATAAGCGTGAAGTCCAAGCCCAATCATGCCTTAGGAGACCAATTGTTTCCCTTCAATCTCACATTTCTCAGTGGCACGGGCAATCTCATGGACCAAGGAGATTAATCATTCTATTTACATGAAACCAAAAGTTCATTTCTATATCCATCCGTCAACTAACCCAACCCAGATGATCTCTTCAATTATAAATACATTTATGTTATGAATGCATCATAGATAAAGCACATGAAACTGACCACTAAATTATTGCCAGGTACTTCTATTAATTTCCAGGACCCAAGTCTTTCTCTGGGAAATAGAAAAATTAATGTCTTAGTATTTTACGAGTATGTACAATGTGACGCCTCAATTATAATGTCCTTAATATTGAACTTGAAGATTTCCACTAGATTCTTAGAGACCTCCAGAAGGCTGGATGTCATGTCCTCTCTCACAGGAGAAGGGTAAGAAAGGAAATGCATATAAAGCAAAAAAGAGCCATCCAAACTTGCTACTCAATTCAGGATTGCCTTCCCACCAGACCGATTCATAGCTATCATGTGGGAATTGGAAGAATACTACACAAAAAAAAATTAATTTGCAGAATTTTTTTATCTCTGTTTCTTGAAACCAACTGCACTAGTTGCGCAAGTTACATAAGTATTCACATTATTCGGGTTTGTATCCCAAACGTTTGAGGTCAAATATGAAAATGAAAGTTTCCGCCCATAAAATTCTATGCAACTTTGAAATACCAAGCCAAAAAAGGCATATGAAATGATAGTATCGTTAACGTAAGATATATCCAGCAGTGTTACATCAAAAGGATATACAATAGGAAAACAAGATCGATAAAAAGACGAGATAAAAAGGTGAATTAACCCTCAGACTTTTTCACACAGCTAGTTCACAAGAAACATGGGCAATAAAGGAAGAACAAAAAGATGCATAATACCCAGTAAAAGAAGAAATAATTCCATAAAAAAGGATCCGGGTGTTTAAATTAATCATGTGACGTCATAAAGAGGTATATCCTTATAGTTTATTTCTTCATTTTGAAAGAAGAACCGAAAGGGAGAATATCTCAGCCATATTGCGAACAAGCACTTGAAAATAAATAAAAACGACGACATAATGATAGCATTTTATGAACTACGAAAACAAGAGAAGTGCGTTCCTTTTATTATGGTGAAGAGGACCATGTACGTAGCACAGAAATAAAATAAGATTCATGTATTCTAATTCCACACTAGAAGTGGAAGCCCTCAGCCACAACTGATATGGGCTATTTTCCTACGAAGCAGACGCGTGCCGCTGACTAAGAGTTCGTCACGAGAAAATAGGGAATTAACGGAAGACACACAAGTACCTCCCACGCAATCATCGCATCCTGATTGGTGCCCTTCCTTCCCTGCTGCGTGAACAGACACGCCACCTCGCTGGAACCGTTGAGGAACATACGCCCCGGCACGCACTGGAGCTCCTCATCTGTCAGCCCCTGCCCACTCTCCACCTTCGCCAGCAACTCCGCGGGATCTGTAACCACGCTTCCCCCACGCCGGTCGAACAGCCCCCCTCCTCTCTTCTCTCCTCTCCCTCCCTTGTCGCAGGCCCCCTCCACGTAGGAGGAAAGACAGCCCCCCATCTGATCCTCGAACGGCTCAGCAGTCCCAGACAGGGAGTGAGGCGCCGCCAAATTCACGGCGGAGAGAAGGAAATCGGAGAAGAGAGGAAGAAGAGAGCACAGAAGAGAGAGGAGAGAGGAAGAAGAGAGAGAGGAGCGAACCACGCAGTCCCCGTCGTAGGGGGTTAATGTACAAACACCAAGGAGCGGAGCTGTCTTATTTTCGGTAAGCTTACCGGCACTCACCGAGCGCGCGCGTCTCGAGACTCACCTGAATGCAGTAAAGGTTGAAGAGCTGCAGCGGTCACCTGACCGCACGAAGACCCACGGCCGTCCTCTTAAACAAACAATTTTCAAACTGCTGACCTTTCCCACCGCCGGCGGAGGAAGGTATCCAAGGTTCTGATTGCCATGTCATCTATTGGATATTAATTGCATTGGGCCGCGTGCCGTCCCAAATCGACACGCGGCAGGTGAACTGTGGGTATGCACAGTCCCCGTCTAAGCCAAATAACACGAAGAACAAGTGGGAGATAAAACTCCACGCCCTCCGGCCCCACTCCTCCATTTATTATGGGTGATCCCCCCAACGCGGATTCATCGCGACGCACGATTCCCGTACGTTGCATCGGCTCCGACCAACAACCTACCGTTCTCAGGCGGGAGAAAAGCCCGGCCTACGGAAACCGGGCCCGGTAGAATAGGCCCGGCCCATCTGACAGCAGGGAAGAGAAAAGAGAGAAGAGAGAGAAGAGAGAGAAAGAGATAGATAGAGAGAGAGGAGTCGGGGGTTCCACGTGGTTAACCGGGGAGCTCCAATCCAGTCTTTTACGGCTGCGCTGGCCCGCCAAATGTCGGCCTACCAGCGCATATGTTTCGGGCCGAGTCTGGGATTTTCGGGCCGAGGAGAGAGTCGGGCCCGCAATAAATGGGCGGGACAAACCGCACCACCTGCTACGGGCATTATTGGCGATCCGCCTCCCACTTTTATTACATACCCGTTGACATTTGTTTGCCCCCGTTTTTTTAAAAATATCTCCTCATTAAAGAACCTTTTATATATCTAACTTTACTACATATTTATATAGATATCTACCCTTTGCAGGCCTAATTGGACTACTACGTTCTGGGCCTGCAATGGGCCCAATTTCCTGTGATTTTTGTGTTATATAAAGCCCATAAGAGTATTTAAAATGACTGATTAGCTCTCCGACAAGACTGATCATTACCAGTCAACTCGTTGACTATAAACAGGGGGACGAAAGTGAAGATCTTGTCGGAAGGGTGGAGAATCGGAGAATCTGGGACGAAGCGGCGGTAACGGCGGCGGCGCCGCCGGTAGATCCATCAGTCGTACGGCGCGCGGCGGAAACCCCTCGGAAAGACTCCGCGTGGACCCTGCAGAACCCGACAGACCGGCCGGGGTACGGTACTCCGCCGCCGGGAAGCGTCGCGACAACACCATCCGTTAGGTTGACTGTCACCAGCGGCGCCAACGGGGATGAGATTAGGCGGTAGGTGGCCGCGGCGGCGGAGGACCGGAACTTATCTCTCTGAGAGTCGACTGATTCGGAGGGGGCCCTCCTGCGGGTTAATGGAGTTCTACCGTCGTCGGCGGGGTGATGGGTGAACAGGAGACGGCGCCGCCGCCGCTGACCGGCGGGAGCACTGGCCTGGGCGGTGAGCTTACCCTCGTCCTCTTCTCCCGGGTCTTCTCATCCTCACTGACCGTGCCAGGATTGGAGGGGGATTAAACGCTCCAAGAACTGAGCTTTACGGGATACGAGGGGACCTGTACCGTTCCCCCTTCTGTGGTGGGGTAACTCCAGAGAGAGAGAGAGAGATAGAGATAGAGAGAGAGAGGGAGGGAAGGAGGTCAGTAGGGAAAAGGGAAAGGAAGACAGAGACGGGGGGTTCCGCCGGCGATGTTTCCATGGGCGGGAATCGCCCTCCGAGCCGTCGGTCCCCAATGCAGACCGTGCTCAGGTACGGAAAACCAGCTCTCCCCAACCCAATTGGGTCGTGTTTGTGCTTCCAGAGAAAAGGGTATGAAGATTCAGGAGCTCCCCCCTCCCCGCCCCCTTCTTTACTTTTGACATCGGCTTGTTCTATGGATTCCGATGCGATTATGTGGTCGCTTGTTTGTCGTCTCGCTTCAATCTTTCCCTGCTCGGGGTATCTGGGCGAGTGATTCCTCTTCTGTACATTTCTTCTCCGGATGCTCTGATGCATTTGAAACTGTAACATGTTGATCTATGGATCTCGAATCCGGCATTTCGTTCGTACCATCTCTCTCGCGGAGACTGGGTTTGCTTCAGTGGTGGCTACCGCAGAAGAGACGAATCGATCGAGTGCTTCCCTAAACATTTCTCTGAGAATTCGCGAATTCTGCTGCTTCATGAAGAACTTCCTGTCTCTTTCTTTTCGCCTGCACCCCAAGGATCGGAAGCATTGATCAATTTGCCCTCCTTCGTGCTCCAACCGATATGAGAAGTGGGATTCGATCCTTTCTACAGATCTCAGGAGGACGGAGCTTCATACCTTCAATCAGGTATCCCTGCTGCCGAGGGAGTTGGATCATCTGAACCCACATTCGTCAGACCCGTTCTCTGTTGAATTGACCAATCTCTTGCCTCACCAATCAGCCATTCATTCTCTTGGTTCTCAGATACCTCTCTCTGTTCAGTTGCATCGTCCTGGTTGACTGGATTTGCTGTCCAGTCACGTTAAATGGGCACAAACTGTTCTTGATTTCCACCTGGGATACTAGCTCGAGAGTTTCATTGAGATTTTTTCTTAATTGGGAAGCGTATTTGCTTCCTTTGCCATGTTCTTGTAATAAATCTATTTCATTTCTTTAATTTTTGTTTTGTTCATTCTCTCTCATCCATCATCTTTGAAAACTTATGAACTCGTCATCTCTTTTTATCTGTCAAGAAAAAAGAGCAGCTTGCCGTCTTTTAAATATCCATTTATGTATCTTATATTTAGACCAAAAAAATATAAAATATATTCTTATCAATCTGGCGTATGATCCAGCTGAAATTAATCATCTGGGTGTTATTAAATGTTCTTCTTTGAATATATTTTCATCGTCATCTCATTATGGCTAGTTTTCTCTATGCTTTATTCTCTCAGGTGCCTCTCCATCTGTTGTTAGGATTCCATGCTGGAGAAGTTGACTTTTATGACTAGACCCATCAGCTCCGTCCCTCCAATTCATGGGCATCGTTAAGGTCAATGTTAGGAGGAAAGAGGGAGATCATTATGTCCAGCAAAGCTCTCCCATAGCTGCTATCCACGATCATGAACACGCAGAGAGGATTATCCCAGAAAGGAAGCATTTTGACGATTCCGAGGTTGACTTTGAGGTCGCTGACGTGGACTGTGAGCTCATCAAGATCAGAGATCAGATATGCAGCGTGCCCTACGATTTGTATGACCTAGCTAACCTGAAAGAGGTGCTATCCCTGGAGACTTGGAACTCGTGCTTAAGTGAAGAAGAAAGGTTCTCTCTCACAGCTTATCTCCCCAACGTTGACCAAGAAACCTTCTGGCTGACAATAAGGGAGCTACTCGGTGGAGAGGACGTCTTCTTTGGGAGCCCTCTTGATGTCTTCTTCCAGAGACTGAAAGGCGGGTTGTACTCTCCGAGGGTGTCGCAGAGCAGAGAAGCCCTTCAGTTCGTACACCGATGTGGTCATTACCATTCACTGAGATTGTACCATGAGAAAATGGCTCAGACATTCATCAGCATGCAGAAAGCCTGGAGAGAGTGCCTACCCAGCACCACTGCCGAGGAAAGGATTGACATATGGAACAGGCAGAAAGCTCCTGCAAAGCCCGTTTATATGGTCGATCTGAACGCATTGCCCGCCGACGAAGAAGCCCCGCTGGCGGGGGACCGAAACATGTCTTCCCCTCCACTGTCAAAGAAGACGACGAGCTCTGCCGATGACAGAGTCATCAGGGATACCCAATTCTCCCCCGCCATTTATGGTGGTTCAGCAGCTTCATTTCCTAGGATGAAGCCAAAGGGGGTGCTCAAGATCAGGTCGGCCTCAAGAATTTCAGAACCAGGCACAACAAACCAATCACTGCCATGTGATTCATGGGGAAAGCTTAGGATGCAGCCGAAGGGGGTTTTGAAGATAAGACCCAGGAGTGATCCTCTGCTGAAACCCTGGGACCCAATGCCTGTTGAATCATCTGGGTTTCCGGCATTTAGCTTTTCTCCTCAGCAATCTGTGTTCGATCTGACTAACATCTGTAATGAATCTCCATTACCCTACCAGAGATACAAATATGGGCCTTTCAGTGAGAGCGGTGAGCTGCCTCTACTGGTAAGAGAGTCACTGAACAGAGATGCCGGGCCCTTCAGTGACCTACCCAGAAGAAAGCTGCGGAAAGTGGGGTTTCATAGTGAGGAAGAAGGCCATTTCTTCCCCCTGAAGAATCTCCGAAAATCGCAGGTTGACCCTCATAAGCTTGACGACATCGGAGACCAGTGGGCCATGGGACTTCCCTTGAGCTCCAAAGAGGAGAGGACGCCGATGCCATCACTGGCTTCAGGAACCCTTCAGAAAATCTCAGCTGTCGACACAGAAGACAGTGAAGCCTTCGATCGGCCAGAGCATCGACGAAGAGAAAACAGTGGAAAAGTGCCTCTGAAAATGCCGTCCGACCCCCCGTTGACTTACCAGAGGAAGAAGGGCCCTTCAAAGCACACCGTATTGAAGCCTCTCCGCTACCAGCCGGCTGGAACAGCTGATCTGAAGATGGGCTTGGCAAAGGGGGGAGATAGAAATCGGATGGAAGAGACAAAATCCATGAAGATAAAACTGAAGATGTGGAACGCTCCTGATAACCAATATAAGCAGGGACTTTTGAACAGCCTCTGACTTTTAAAAGTCAACGTGGCCTCAGAACAGAAACCCAGTGGAATCTTTCTCCAAAAATAGAAGAGATACAATGAAATGCTGGCGCCTGGCTGTGAGGGAAGTTTCTTCTGACAGCTTATCCTCTTTAGAATTGTTGAGGCCAGGGGATGACCATTGACTGATGTTGCCTAGAAAATCTTTCTTCCTTACGATTTATCCATGGCGATGCTCCTCTGATGTTTGACATTTATCTATATATAGCATACTAATACTGAGCCCCATTGTTCCATCTGGTGGCCTCCGAACCCCATTTTGTCAGCAGTGGATACTGCTGAATGGTTGCCCATTCCATGGGCTGAAACTGCAGATCTCTTGCAGCTGTATAAATGTAAACCATTATCTTGATCATTAATGAATAGAAGTTAATTATCTTGATAGATTCCTTGGGGATTTATGGAAAGATTTCAACCATTGTAACAGATCTTCATGGGCATATCTATTCGTGATCTTTTCTTGTTGGGTTTTTTTTTTTTTTTTTTTTTTGCTTGATGAAAATTCTTTGAGATCCTAAATTTGCAATTCCCAATATGATTAACCTTTTTAATCCCCATTTTATGTGAAAAATGTAGGAACTCAGCAATTCACCTTCATTCCCCTGCATCAGCGAGCTCACATCTACAAAAATGCATCTTATCCATGTCTAGTGCTCTGCGTCCAGAGTTGACCTGAGAAAGGAATCCTCGGAGATCATTAGAATCTATGTCGCTATCATTAGAATATGAGCAGGCAGCCTAACACGAACTCTGTTCCCTGAATTACTTGAAACCATGCCTAAGAAGAAGAGAGGTTGACCCATTTGAGCTGCTTCCTCTCCACTTTAGCGGAGTAAGAGTCAACAGGCTGGGGTCAACTCAGGGAGAATATCTGCCGGTGGATAAATGAGAGGGGGAATACGCAGATCAGAATGAGCTTAATTTCAACGTCAACCATATCCATTAAAGCTAGGTTGGGGAAGGGTCGTAGACTTGTCCACGCTAATCAATGCCACCTAATTAGCCAAACCAACCAGAATGGGACTATCCTAAACCGAGGACAAGAATCTACCTGCCCAGACTCAACCCATTAGAGAGAGAGAGAGAGAGAGAGAGAGAGATCCTGAACAAATCCAGCCTCCATCGCCTGATCCTGCAAATAAGCCATCTTTCTCACAGAAAAACCAAAGCTTTGAGAGATGAAATGAGTCGGCACATTCTCGCCACACCCATTTAATTACTTGGCTGCAGAGTGGCATGGAGATCTCAAAGAGGGGAAGGTTATAATTAGAATTGACAAGTGGTCCAAGGAAACCACATCAGGAATTGTTAAATTAATCAGGGCATCTATCAATGTTAGCTACAGCTAGCTCCTAACTGGCCGAGAATTGGGGAAACTCCATAGATTTATCAGAACTGAGTTGCTCCCTTCTGGCCAAGACCTGAACAGCAGTTAGTTGTACAATGGGTGGTGAGGGCAGCTACTCCCCCTACCTCCTTCCCCCCTCCCCCCCCTTCTTCCCCCCACCCCCACCAAAATCTCAAAAGGCTACTATTTTCATCAAGGAGGTACCTGCAGTGAAGCCTGTCCACTTCAGCCCATACATGGCTGCTGATGCTTCCTCCCACACTGCCACAGCTCGTAGGTTGCCAATGACGCAGGTCAGACCCTGAGTTTTCTTTCTTCTCTGCAACTTGCTTTCTTTTTCTTTTTTAACTCATTCGGCCTTCCTCTTTGGCTGAATCATGGGAAGTCAGATCTTGGGTAAGACAGATTAATCACGTCAAGTTCTCTGTTGTCGATCAAAGATTATGCGGCCCCCTCGGCCGACCCGCCCACGGAATTGGTATGGTGGCGCAACCAAGCAATCCTCAATGGAGGGGTCTGGTGGCGGCACGATGCCAGCGGCCGCCAGTTTTTCTGCATCCAGTGGTCTCGTGAACAGCAGGACTGGTTCTTGTGTCCCCTGCATGAAGTGGATGTAGATCTTAAGACTGAATAAGAAGAGCATGAGATGTGATAATGGAAAGAGGGAGGAGGGAGGGGAGAGGAGGTGTTTACCCTCTCTTGGAGCCATCCCTGACTAACGAGCCGCTGCTTGACTTCCCTCTTCATGCGTCCCGGAGGGACCATTCCCATCCTGGACTCCAGCAAGGACCGGTTCTGCATTAATGGAGGTCGGCCACGGGGACGGCTGACCGTCACCTCACGAGAATCAATGAAGTCTTCGTTCGATCCATACTTGTAGGAGAGAGATGGGAGCCCAGCAACCTGAAGCTGTTCTTCCATAAGCTGCGCTTCATTCTAAAGTCAAAACAGTCAACAGAAGCAAATATTCAGAACTCAAAATGTCAACGGGGGCAAGGAGAGAGAAGTTTCTACATATAATACTTGGGGAATTTGTCCTAGAACAACAAATGTTGAACCCTCAAGAACATGAATGTCAGATGGTAAAAGTGCACACTCACCGCACCATGTCTTGATTTTGGTCACAACCCAAGGAACTTTAGTGCTCAAAATGTCCAGAAATCATATCTTATCTAGGAAAGAGGTTTTAAAAGCTGAAAGTCGTTGATTAAGATACTTAATCACTAATTTTCCACTTGATGTAAATTGCTTCAAGTAAAGAGATTGATGAAGATACACAGAAAAAGGATATAGATCAGAGTTTCTTTGTCCAAAATGGCAAAGTCCAATACAATGAAGAGGATGACGACGGATAAAAGCACCAAGGCAGCGGCCACTCAATGTGATATTTTTCTCATCTTTTTCTCTCTTCTCCCTCGTCCCTTTCTTCTTTATCCAACCTCATCAGCTACAGTCAATTCTGATCTGAAAATATGAAATAAAGCTTCTTCTTTTTTACAAGTGATTCTACCAGCAGATGATTGTCACAAACCCCGCCAACTAGGAAATGTCAGCATGCACACTTTGAGAGCCCCTCAACTCAACTCTTAATACATGCTCCCTCCCGTACACACTCCCAACAAGTATATTACTCTTTAGGCAACCATCCTTTTAGTATTAGCTTTGACCTAGTGCTCTGCACTCCCCATTCTGGGTTCTCAGGCAAGACAAACTCTATTTCACTTCATAGAGAAGCCTGCAACAGGTGCTATCACAGCAGCATGATTACAGGTCAGTCCACTTCATACTTCCATGCTCGTAACGAAGGGAAGCATTGTATGCTACTTTGTAGTCACAACTAACCGAAAAAATAATCACCGGGCCTCTGTAGAGAGCCTTCGCTATAATAGCCCCTAGGAATAGTTTTGAATCGGAAGCACCCAGGTCCCAACAATGAATCAAATAGCTGGTAATTTGTTTTAAATGCAACCAAATTACCAGCAATAAACTATTTGACTGCTTACCTTATATTTCATCTGAGTCCGTTGAAGGGTGATCTCACTTTCCACAACTTCTCGCTTCTTCTCCTCCCTCTGCAGATAATTGTTTTGGATTACAAAGAGTTGTGCTAGTATCAATAAGAAACAAACAGTATCAGAAAAACGTTATCTGAAAACAACGAACCTTAATGAGGTAACCGAGTACGGATTTCGCCCGTTCCAAATTACCCCTCACCTGAAGAAAATTGGCAACAGAAGGTTAAATGACGGAAACATACATCAAGTCTGATGGTCGTTGCATAAAACTGAAAATTTCTTAAAATACCACTGTATTAAAACACGGCGATATCATATTTAAAAATAAATACAAAACCGAAGAGCAGAAATCATTGCTTGTGGATTCCAAGTAACTAGATATCCTCAGAACATTGAGCACTAGCATCTCACAAGGGCAACACAAATCAGTCTACATCTAGTAACTCACTCGAAAACCACAAAACTTGCCACCGGAAGCAACAGTTGCATTCAAACCAACCCAAAACGGAAATGGTCAGGGGTGAATATCATGTATCCATAATGGCTACAGAGTTCGCAGTATTCGAAATAAATGGTTAGAGAAACCCAAGTCACAGATATAGGAGTGACATACGTTCTGTCAGTTGCTATAATTGAAACCTAATGCTTGAACTTAATCTAACCATTGACTGTATGAAAAATTGCATTTTCGCATGGGCATTCGCTTGTGTAATTCGGACTATACACCTAACCTGCTAGATTAGTACTAAGATAACATAGTTAATTTTCAAACCATGGGTTTGTGAAAGTTACGAGCTGATTATATGCCATCATAGGTAAAATCAATTAACTTGATGCAGATCAAAATGTGCTTATTTCTTTGTGGACAAATTTACAAGGGACCTACCAGGTGTCCAGGACTTTTCATCTCACACCCACTCCCTAGTTGCAGTAGTATCAGATTTTTATTACCTCATCGTTGTCAAGTTTCAGACTTCATCCAGTCAGTTTGCCAGATATCTCAAGAGTTTTTTCATCATCCTGTTCATCTCTCAGAGATTATTGTCTCAGAGTTTGCCAGATATTAGGCAGTTCAGACAGTCATCAAACATCCAAAACAGTCGCAGAAATTCTCTCAACCCACCAAAAAATGTCTTAAAATTTTTGGCACCCAAAGTCTTTAATGAGAAATGTGCCTAGGTAACTTTCTCATGAATCTGATGAGGGAAAATCAGGGATTATTTAGGAAAATCATGGAACAATAAAGCACATTGATTTCATGCAATCTGACACTTTCAGAATCTCCACTCCTAAATCCCTTCAAGACAGCCAAAAAAGTATTTGTCATTTAATTTTTGCTGTCGTTACATGGACCATCTAGATTAGATAAATATTGGTAGTTCTGATCCCAATTCGAAGCACAGACTGTTGAAAACTTTAAAGCAGAAACAGACTGGAACATCTGATTTTTGAAATTAGCCTGGCAAATGCTCCCGACACTCAACACAAGCAAGGACCGTTCGACAGCCTCTAATTTGGCATTCCATCCTCTCATAACAGAAGCTCAATGGAATTTATTTTCTGAAAATTCAAGATATCTATGACAATGCAGCTTGGCTATGAGGGAATTTTCTTCTCGCAGAGTTTATAATCTTTACTAGGCAAATTTTCTAGTGACAAATCGTTTGGTCTGATGAGTTCTCAGTTGCCCAAGGTCAGTTGGCCGGAAATTGTCCAGATTGTCCACTTGTTTTTAATTTTGGCATGACAATGTTACTCCGATGTCTTACGTAGACCTTATATAGTTTACAAATATCAAGTCCCAGTGATCACACCACTTTGCCCTTGGATGACCTCTGCATTCCATTTTGTACGTAGGCAAGGAAGTAAAGAATCAGATAGCATGCTATATGACTGCCTTCTCCATGGGCCGAACCTGCGAATCTCTTGCAGTTTATAAATGTAATTAATTATTTTGGTTATTTATGAAGAAAAGCTCGCGCATCTGGAGTTTTTTCGGTGCAATCACAGGCTGCCAATGAGACAGACTAGACTTTTCAGAGCTCGGCCTTCTAACTCAAGCCCAGAAAATGTTTGCACCAGGAACGGAATGTAGACCGGGTACAGCCCAGGCTTCAATAGTACCCAGGCCATAAGCTACCACCCCTGCCTAAGAACCTCCGTTCCATTCCACATCCCATCCTCCCCAACCCCTGCGACAATCCTAAATCACTTGGCAATACAAACTCTATGAAAACAAAATCCTTTGGGAAAAAAACACAAACCCATCCCCCAAAACAACCTCCAAACTGATTGGACCACACTCAGGCTTCATAGAAATCCAATCCCAAGCCTATTGTACAGCATTTTCTCAGGATTCAAAATTTATAAAAAATCAGCTGGCCAGACTTAATGAGCATGCACTCAGCTCTGCCCAGAGAAAACCTTGCACAAATTGATAAGAAAAGTTAAGAACGTTTTCGGTTCGGAATCAAATTACGAAAACCAAAATCGGAGATATCAGTTGCTAGCTGGTCTGGCAACAGCATCACAAGATTCAATCGTCACCTGGTTTAATTAATCCAAGTCCTAGAAAAATGTACAACACAGTGATTAATCCATATGACACAAGAAGGTTGAGGCAGAAGAAGACTCGTGAAAATGTCAGAGCCAAGGAAAACAATGCACTGCTTCATATGAATAAATAATGCCAGCCTTCCCATGTTGTAAACATCTTATTTCTCTACTCAAGTTTTTCTTTCATCTTGTAATATAAAAGAGAAACATTGAGAAGGTTCGCTTCACATTTAAGCAACAAGAACTCCTATTGAGAAGATATACAAGTCGGACGGTAGATGATCCATTACATTTAATGGATCAGGATGGTCAATCTTCAATAAACTACAAGGGATCACATTCAAGATAATAAAAGTGTAATTCAGTGAAACAACAAAAATGAATGAGAGAACTTTTCACATGGTTCCCACTTTAAACATCCATAACTATGAATCATCGAAGTCATTATACAAAAAGAACATGTATATAAACATATATGTTATCGAGCAAAGTTAAGTTCTCAGTCCATACCTGACGAAGCCTCTCAAAGGAAAGCACATTGTTCTCTCTCCTTTGCAACTAAGAGACAAAAAAAATTGCAAAATATCAATGAAACATAAATAACTCTCTCAATCACAATGAAGAAAGGAAAGATCTTAAAGAAGTGTGTTATTATTAGAATTTACTTAAAACTTTGGAAATGTATAAATCACCTACCCTTCTGGTATAAAGCCGATGAGTTTTCTCCCTTGGTCTAAATACATTGTATGGATTTGTGTCATTAACTGGAGGAGGCGGCTGCATGAAAAAAGATAAACAGTTATTCTACCTGATTTTACCCAGACACATGTAGGATAAAACCATCCAACGCCTACGAACACAACAAAGAAAATTTAAGAATAGGTGACGAAAATGAGATGATAGTTATTTATAGAATTCCCGCCTCTAACCAGGTTCTACGAAAATCAAACAAAATATGAATAGTCCACCACAATGATATCGTTACGATCATAAACAAGCATAGAAAACTTTGATTTTAGATTCAGAAATGTCAAAGATGCAGACACAAAGGCTAAACAAATACCAGAACTGTGCTCTTGGATAATCCAGGAAACAGTTCCCTGACAAGGTTAGATCGGCTTGATGTTCCACTATTTTTTAAGTCATGATATGTATTTTTTAATAACTAAAATATTAAGGCTCGTTCTTTGGTTTTTTTCTGCAGTTCTTTTTCATTTTTCTTTTCATCTGTTTCTTTCAATTTTATTTTATTATATCATCTTCTGTCTCCTTTTCGAATCCATCTTCCTTTATGCATAATTCTCCAATTTTTGCTATCAGACTAGATAAGGGTATATAGGGAGTGCCACCTGGGCATTAATCCCCAAGCTAATGAGAAATAGATCGATCATTTATCTAAAAAAAAACTGGTTTAATCTAAGAGTCAGGAGAATTATTTAGGCTACCCATGTGGCATGCTCACATATATGTTCTGCATGGTTGGAATAAAACTTCATTTAGAGAATGCCCTCAGAATTAACACTGGACTAATTGCTGATAGAGGCAATGGACTTTGACGAGCAATTGCATAGATATCCAAGTGCATCACTTCTGTTTGTTATACATTGCATCAATTTTTCCAGTATTCCATTGAGCTGCATCCAAATGCAAAACCTACTTTCCATTGGTTCTTCAAAATACGCGAGTTAGCATGTAGAAGACATCTCATTACAACCTCACGACTTGAAAACAATTTCTACCCACATAATCAAGTCAAAAAAGAATTAGGAGCGATTGATGAATGCCATCACTATATTCCACTCTTACATAGCCAAGTACTAGAATGGTGGAACACCCAAGATCTTTTACCTCCAGATGCGATAAACAAAACGCCAATTATGTCCACAAAAATTGTTTTTAGGAATCGCACATTCATGTGGAAGCTTGCCATCAAGAAACAAAAGTTCGATATAAGAAAGACATTCTAAAACAACTCATTTCTTGTGAACTGGCGTGAGAATAGCTAAGCCACGCCAGAAAGCCTCTACTAAGTTGTTACAAGCAAAAGCATCTCAAACATTCCTTTTTATCCCTGCTAAAAAAAATAAGGAAGAAGACAAATAGCTTTGTTTTTTACCGTGATTTACGCCATTATTATGTCCCCAAAAAATAAAATACAAAGGCCCAAACAGATAACAAAGTGAGAAAGGCAAAACAATGGCAGAAAAAATTACAAGGGAGGAGAAAAACGACAAAATTGCATCTCTATTCTACCATCATAAGGTGAAAAAAAAAATAGAAGAGCATACAGAAGTTAGAAAGCCAAAATATGCATGACTTTCCAAGGTATTTCGTCAGCCAAAAAGTGTACAACGTTAGATATTTCGGAAGAGACATGGCTTTCGAGTTATTTCGGGAGAATTAACCAAAAATAAAATGTGAAGTACTTCCATCCCTCTTCTTTCCAGTGTGATTTTTAGATAGAAAAAACAACAGTTCTGAATGATAGCCATACACCAACATGATAACTGATAAGACTGGGTACTCTGGTAAATATTGGAACCTCTGAAGTTTTCTAAAGTTTTCTGCTTTCCACTCTCAATAGTGGATAATACAATTTTGGATGTTCGTGATCGAGTCAAACAGAACAATCTTCACAAGAGCCATAACACTGTAAAGCTTATGTAACTTGTTTTGAACAGAATGCTGAATAATGAGTTTACAAGATTCCTCGTCTCTAATGAACTGCAAAATAAGTGGTGTAATTTATATCGGACTTGAACTGAGCCAGATATTAGTGCGAGTAGCATCTGCCATAATCACTCATAATTTAGGTGAGTCTGCTTTTATGGGTTTGACCAGTAAATCATATATCCATTTGTCACCATAGGCCGCTCAGTTGACAAATGGATTGAGAAACTGGCAGCTCTCACATTCCAAAGGAAACGAAATCGGGTTTTAATTAGTAAACGGATAAGCTAACGTTTTACAGTGTGTCGTAAATACACTTAGATATGAGTTAACTATTGATCCTATTCATTGCAGATGAGGTTTTCTTGGCACAGAGAAGTTATGGACAGAAGGTTTGACTGAAAAGCATGAATTTTCTGAACAAGCGGCTGAAACAATTATCCAATGAATCTCGTTCACATTTTGAATGAAATCTGAAAGGAACAAAAATAATAAAGCTTTTGTCTCTACGAAAACAAAGCATCACACCTGCAAGCGCCGTAAGATGGGTTTTTGCCATTGCTCACGCTGAAGAAAGAAAAAAAAAATCGTGAATAAGTCTTTAAGGTATAAGAGAGAAGCCACAGTGAAGCCCATACCTTTTTCTTCCAGTAGTTATATACAGACTGAAAAACTGTGTATCTTATGGATTGGGACTGAATAGCCTGCAAGAATATTTTTAAAAATATGATAAATATAAATTATCTTCGACTGATAAAGAAGAAAATTGAATAAACTATAGAAATTAAGATGAATAAGACCAATACTGTAAACGTTGTTATTTTCGAAAGATTGTTGTTTACAAAGTTAAATAAGGATATGGAGATTACCTCGGCAGCAGAGTCGAGCGGAAGAAGGACGGGAGCAGGTGATCCAAAAGTCAGTGCTAGGATTCCAGCTCTTTCTCGGGTCTTATGGTCCAGCACTTCCAACTTGAACAGAAGACTTTCAAACCTGAGTTTCAAAGGTTCTCTTACTGATATGAACATGGAAGAAAAAAGAATTCCAGCGTTTATAAACAACTATTGAACCCCCAACCTCCAGTTAAACATATCTAAAACATAAATTGTGAAGGGAGGAAAATAAAATTTCGGAACGTGCATTCTATCTGTCTAAATTGTTGTAAAAGATAGGGATCAGGCAGATGTCGCAGCCACAGGCTATCCTATATCACCCTGCTGTCAAAAGTACTGGTACTTTGAAAATGTATATTGGCATAAAAATTTAAAGAATTGGAATCACACTGAGCACACCCATGAGCAGAGATTTGGTAAATCAAACAAGAGGTAGAAGCAAACATACTATCAATTCACTAATTCATCAACCTGACGGACACCATTCTTCATCTGAAGCCAACTTCCCTAAATATAATACAAATGTTCATCTTCCAACAGCAAAATGTTTCTTCCTCTTAACCCTCCAGGATTGTAAAAAAACCTTCTTATCCTACAAAGAACCACAAGGATATGAATTAAGGCACCAAAAATTTTATGTAGTCCATTATTGATAATCCTTCTTACTTTGGTGAACCAAAAAGACATTACGGCAGGCACTATGTATAACCCTGTTTTGGTAGGTGAACGCTACTTGGTGAAAGTTGAGTCAAAATATGATACAGCCTTTGTAACCTCATAACTTTAGGAGAACTGCCAGGTCATCCAGTGATCTGTATAGGTGATACTATAATAGGCACCATCTACAAGTCTATGTTGGTTGGTTTGGTCAAGGATACGCGCAGATAAGGCACTCTTTTAAACAGCTTAACTTTCAAGTTGAGCTCCCAAGAAGTTCGAATCACCAACAAATGAAAGGTGAGAAGAAAGAGAGTCCGCAAGACTCTCTTTCCTGTACGATTTAAGATGGAAAAATAATCAAACTATCCTCAAACATTTGCAGAATCCAAGATCTAAGATGCCACTCAGTTTGCACTATAAGGTAAAATATAAATCGTGACATATAATCAGAATTGAAAGCATTAACAGAAGATGAATTGAAGCAATATAAAGTTGAACGTTTCTATCCACAAATCAGATCTTAAATGATTTGCTTATTAGTGCGTGACTCCTTACTGACAAGATCTTGTAAGGAAGAGAGGCCAAGAGTAAGCACCTGAAGGAAAGAAAATATTTTGTAAAGCATCCTAAAAATTCTCATTAACTGTCTAGAAAGCCTAAAATTCATTTTCGTCCGGCGTAGCAAGATCTATCTTTATACCATTCATGTAATCATCAAAAAATTCCCAATGGATTGATCATTTCATGCGTCAAACGCACTCAAAATCAACTGGTTCTAGAGATCTCAGCCAAATTTCTGACGGTTATGACATGCTCGTACATGGATCTGTCAGTTTGTATGAATAGAGTGGTTATTTTTGCAAGTTCAAACCCCAGATAAATGTAGTGCAGTATTCATAATTGGAACTTGCTCTTTTGTCTGTAGTGGTCTCCTCTTGCTCCCTGTTCTAATGATGGACAGATCTCACCTATCAAGACAAGATAAAAAGCCCTAGGAGCCATAACGAAAGAAAAATAAGAAAAGAAAACATGGCGTTTAAATCTGATATCGCAAGAGAGGATTCTAACTTGTACCTAAATATTCATGGTATTTGCATCGTTAAGATGGAAAAAAGATCCATGCCTGAATGGTAAAATAGGTGGTAGTAAATATGCAATCAATCCAAGACTCGAGTGACAGGAAAAGTTTCTGCACAGTGACGTACAAAAAATGGATGCAGAACAACTTTTTGACTACTCATGCTCATACGCAGAAAGACAACAGAAAAAGAGAACCCACAGCCCAACTCTAGACTGATCTTTCTTTCATTTTTTCTTAGCCTTCCTCCTTAACATTCCTCTCGTGAATTTTCTTCAATTTAATTACGTAATCTAACAATAATGGCTCTTCGGTTCCAAAAGGTCATGAAGACAAGATGTTTCAAAAAAACCTAAACTAATGTATGCCGCCTACTTAAGATCACCATGAATGTACGCCAATACTTAAGGATTGACGTTTCGGTAAGTAACAACAGAAAAAAAATATTTCACAAAGAAAATAAGTACGTGCACTTTCTGAACTCTAAAAAGCAGAATAAACATATTGAAAGCAAACAACGAATAGGGCAATGTAAGATCACAAGAGTTATTAAAGGATAGAGATGACCTAGAAAGAATAACATTTCGAATCCCTACCAAGAGAAAAACATTCATGTTGGTGAATATTAAATGAAATCTGAACTTTACTTTTCGGCTGAAAGAATATTTCTTTCATTATTAAACTCTTCAAGCCAATCTTCATCCTCGTCATCCAGGTCGTACTCAGTGAATTCGCCAATCTCAGCCCTGGCTGTAGTCAGAATGGTAAGGATTAATGCACTGACTTATGAAGTATAATTAGACCCATATTAAATCAAAAGAAAGGCGTTCTTCCTAACAGACCTCCTCTTGCCCGTATATAGGACGTAGGTTGCCTGAAGGTGCATGTATAATCCCTTTCGTAGGTGTCCACAATAACATACTCAGGAATAGGTATCTCAGAAGCAGCTTTCTTACTAGAAGTCGTCCCCTGAACCTACATGACAAAAGATCATTTCCATAGAATGCTTTCAACCTTCAGATTGCATCATTTGAGGTAATCCTTTGTCTATCAATGCAGCACAGTAGGGACAACAGCAAGTTCACGTACAAACAAAGAGTGGGGCAGACATATACATAAGAGCCTGGAAAGGACTTAGAATGTCAGAACTACAAAATCTCACCTCATTGCTGGTCTCAGCAGCAATTCTCTGCAGCTGTGAGCTGCGGGTTGAGGTTGTTGTTGGTGCATCATCATCTTCAAACTCTTTGATAGATTTAACAATTGGGAGTCTCTTATGAATATCAAGAGGGCGAGGCCTGAAAGAGAGTCTATTCATGTCCACACATCTCCCGTCAGCAATGAGCTACCTTCACTGCACATGTCGCCACCCCATTCAAAACCACCAACGCTCAACTCCTCGACTAACAGTAAGCATGCACCAGAAATACTTCATCAGCACCTTTGAGTATCTCTTCCTCTAACTAACAAATAGGCATACCTAACACTTCAACACAACAAACAAGGCTCTCCCTCTGGACGCACCAAACGCCATGCACACTGCCCATTCAGTCCAGACACCGAAATCCAGAGGTAACACTCTAGCCATCACTTATGGCCCAAAAGGCCAGCCATTAAGATCATTAATGCGAGGATTTGAGGTCAAACGAGGACTCTAACTAGCCTATCCCTACTAAACGCAGCGAATTGCCTGAGATAAAAACTTCTGGGAATATAAAATTCTTCTTCGATGTGCACCAACAACAAACCGAATCCGGAGATGGCCCTTACCCTCGAGTAGAGGCGCGTAGGGAACCGAGGAAGCCCTAGAACGGGGGGGTAGCGTCCAAATTGGAGAGTAGGCGAGATCGGAGTAGCCGTCACTGGTGAAGAGCAGGAAATGGAAACCCTAGTTCACCGAAACCTGGAAATTACCGCTCCTGGGATGCCCTAGACCGAAATGCACGAGGAACAGACGAACCCGAGACCGGTACACTCCTGCTTCACCTCCTCTGTTCAGAATTCCAGCAGCATCCCATCACTTTCAAGCCTCCGAGCCAGTTCCGCACGCCGAGATCGACACGGGAAGAGAATCGCAGTCCGATAAGGAGCAAGAAACGCTGGAGCAGTCCCTCGCAGCGACCGGGAGGGATCTAGGTCACGCGGAGCGGAGGATCCCCGCAGGACAACAGGGGGCAGCACGAGCGAGAGTGATCCACCGCGTGAGGGGGGGTTCCTGTTCTTGCTCGTGCTCCACGTCCACGGCGTTGACTCTCTGCTCGCCGGTCTCTGGTGTTTCAAAACCCTAGAAAAGGGAGGGAAGGAAGGAGAAGAAACGAGAGCTACTTTTCGGTTTTTTCTTTGCCGGGTTCCCAACATCTCCTCTCCCGCGGGGTGGGGGGGGGGGGCAGCACCAACTCCCCAGTCGTCGGATCCGGTTAATGGATCTGAATCTGACCCATTAGAATTGTCGTCGGATACATTGAGTATGCGTGAGAAGGTCAACGGGTCCGCCGACAAGCCATTTAGTCCTTGGTAAGAAATTATTTTCATGAAAATAATAATGTATTTACAAATAATTACCCAGTTGTCGCATCCTGTTAATGGCTCTGAATCTGACCCATTGCATTGTCGTTGACTAATTTTTTACAATGAGTGAGAGGTCAACGGGCCTGTCGACAAGCCATTCATCCTCAATAAGAAATTATTTTCCTGAAAATAATAAATTATTTACAGGCAGCATTATCCTTTTTCTAGAATATCCCATTTGTCAACTATTATCTTTTTTTTCTAGATTATCCCATTGTCAACTATTATCCTTTTTCTAGAATATCTCATCCCTTTAATGGGTCTGAATTTGACCCATTTGGATTGTTGTCAAATCCACTTGACTATGGGAGAGACGGTCAACAGGCCGGCTGAGAAGCCATTCATTCTTTGGTCGGAAATTGCTTTCCTGAAAAAAAAATTATTAACAAACAGCATAATCCTCATTCTCGATTATTGAGTATTATTCAGTGCAATTAACATCGGATCCCATTATGGGTCTAAATCTAACCCATTTGGGCTCCCATCAAATACACTATGGATGAGAAGGTCAACGGCCTGTGAAATCCATTCATTCCTCAGTAAGATATCATTTTCCTCAAAATAATAAATTACGTACAATTATTCATTGCAATTAATTTTGGAAAAAAAATCATCCTCTTAAGCATTACTATTTGATTAAAATTATATATTGTGAAAAGACCAAAGAAATATAATCAAAGACAAAATAATCTAATCTTTTCACACTATTAATAGTTGAATATGCCACACTATTAAATGGAAGAGATGGGGAGGGAAGTCAATATGGCACAATGAAAGTCAAATAGGAAGGTTGACCTTATTTGACCATGAGGGAAGCCCAAGTAGAAGTGCTTCACTAACACATACTCTTCCCAATCATTTGTCAAGATATTGTGGAAAGTAGTGTACTCCTTCTTGGTGATCTCCTTAGGCTTCCTCATCCACACAAGCTTCTATGTGCTAACCAAAGACCATTCACATGACACCTCCTTAATTTTGTTCTTATTCTTCTCCTCCTCTTCCTTCTTCTTGTCAACTTATTTGACCCAACTCTCCTTGTCTTTCTTGTCTTCCTCATAGTGCATCATCAAAACTCTCCTTTTAAGTGATCCTCTCAATCTAATATGAGATGGGTTAGTTGATGAAGTCAAAATGTTTCTTGATTAAGTCCTTCAGTTCACACTCTTTAAGATATCACAACTACAAGTCCTATTATTCAATCAAATAGTCATTAATCTCAACAAGTAGGTTTCAACAAGTAATGAAGAACTAATTATCTAAATTTTAAGAACTTAAGGTTGAAATGCCTAATAAAATACACACTTTTAGAAAACTTAGAGCATCATGTAAAACATCACACCTAACTATGATGAAAATCTTGATTATTTTATGGCAAGCATGATGTTTAGCCAAATGACTAGATATCTCACACATGGTCAAATAGTTACACTCAAACACACTAATATTAGACTAAAAAATCAATGGGTTTGGTTCGAGGCTTCAAAAGCTAATATTTCATTACAAAAGTTTCCAACATTTTGGTGAGTTTTCAATGAATATTTAGAGAATGCCAAGCCTCTATAGTATTTAAGAAATAGAACAAATGTAAATAATACATGAGTGACCAAAATAAATTTAAGGAATGTATGATAATGTCATAAAGTTGATTTTTGAAATTGAGAATATGATAAGTCTTCATTATCATGAGTTAATAATTAGTAAATAATATAGTTTTAGCCTTAACTCATGATAAATAGACTTATATTTATGTTAAATTGTGAAAAGTAGTTTTTATTTGATTAACGTGAATTTTTGAGTAATTATCTGATTTTAAATAATTTTATATGATTTTTATAGTCTTACTTTTGAGATAAATAAAGAAAAAGAAATTAAAATAAAAATAAGATAAAATGATGGACCCCTTAGCTAGTAGGACCCACAAGTAAGTTAGAAGCTCAATTAGGGAGTAGTCGTGAGTAAGGGCTCGAGCGGCTTGGATTGATAGGGCACGTGCGCACCACTCTCCTTTCACGTCACTAGTGGCTAGCCAGTTGTGAGGCAAGGAGTGGTCGTACACGTGCGAGAAAGGGACTTGCTTAGAAATGTAACATTATTATATATTCACCGAAAATTCGGTACACAACCAATGTAGGACTAAATCTATGTCACACCTCCCTAAAAGGGACAGGCAATCGGCGCGAGTTCGAATCCTCTTAGAGTCAAAAGTCATATATTTTTATTTAATTATCACGACTTTCCTACAGATCATCGGTGAAGGATTAAGCAACCATAATCACGATCATCAGCAAAAATCTCGTCAATACGATTCGTGGAGTATTGTTACTAAAATTACTGAATGATTCGCGATGAAAGGATCGCGAATCTATCGAGTAAATCATCTCTAATTGATCAACGAACAAGCCGTCGTTGAGAAAAGGACAATCCACCGAGAGATAAGTCGCCACCTCTTGAGAGCATATCAGATGTGATGAAGAGCCTCCTCTTACTGTGTAGACCTATGGATGAAGCTCCTTGACACGCGCCCCACCTCCATTCAACTCTTCTCTGTCGGGTGATAGTTGCCAGAGAGCCGCAAAGTTACCATTTTTTCATTCTATTGGGTGATAGCCGCCAGAAATGATTCAACAACTCATTTCATTAATCTCTAGACTTCACAAGGAGATCTAGAGATTGCCTACGTTGTCTTTGTCCAAGGAAAGTCTTCGAGGCCATGGACACCACACGATAATCTTCTCGAACGCTCAAGATTCTAGTGCATCATCGACGCATCATTGTCGCGACGCCGGAACTTTGTTTTCCTATTTTTAACTTAATTTTCGTTTCATTTAGTGATAATTTATTGATTTTAAAGTTACCAAGATATACTTCATTTCATTACGATTCTTCTAGCTTTTATAGATTTTAATTTAATCAATTAAATCATTTGTAATTACTTACGTAAGAATCACCGGGCATAACTCTATTTCTGCCTGATTTGTGTTCGCCGGGGCGTTGATGTCATCCTGATGTTTGCACCCTTATTTCCCCTTTTCATGAATTTTAAATATATTTTCTTTTCATTTACTAGTATAAAATTCAGAGAAAATAATATTTTTTTAAAAAAATTCTGAAAAATTAGCAGATATTATATCATATCCTTGTGATCGACTTAGAAAATTATCACTATTTTTGAAAGTTTTATTGAATTATAATTAATATATTTATTCAAAAATACTTCTAAATATCTAAATATTTGTATTTTTTAGTTTTATAAATTTTAGATTTATGTAATTTAATGTACAAAGACTAAGTCATGTCAAATTTTGGCATTGTTGTTGGAGATGTATTGCATAATATTTAGTATTTTTCTATTTTTCCTTTAGAGTACAAAAAAAAAATTAACTCTTGTTTTATTTTCTGCTTGCTAAAATTTTTTTTAGAAAAAGGGAACGAAAAGAAGCAAGGCAAGGACTGAAGCATACTAAAGGAGGGTAATAATTACTAAAATTTTCCCTCAAATTTATTGATTTTTTATACATGATAGAAGATCCTTGTATCTAAGGTTAGAAAATCCTTTCATTATTTCATTCAAAACTAAAAATCTGAAAGAAAAATTAATTTCGATGGATCATGAAGGAAGTATAAGTTAAACTAAGAGAAATCTTATGACCATGAAAAATTATTATATTCCTTATTCATTTCAAAGAACATCTAATATTAGAGTCCCATTAACACTTACTATTAAATTTGAAATAAATCTAAGAATTTTTC